CCATACTCTCTTACTCTCTGAATTACTCTTTCCACATGCACCCTAGCTCTAGCAATTTTGGCACATTGAACTGATTCTGATCGGCTGTATTTCTTGTTTCTTTGGAATGGTGGTCGGATCAAGTTGATCAAATTATCATTACAATCTTCATCAATGTTAAAACCCTTGTCTACCATGAGAGCATCACCAGGATTGCATAATTCATACACACCAGTAGATTTGGTTACAACTCTATCAGAGGCCCTGCCTCCAAAAGCGGGACCACAAAGACTGATGAATCCACTAGGAGTACAAACCATCATTATTTTAGTAGTGAAATTTTTCTTATAATTGGAATAAAGCCTAATTCTACATCTAATACACTTTGGTTTTTCTACACCTATTTCATAAGCATCAAGAATTGCTCTAGTTGACTTAAACTTATTGAATGACTTAGGCATATTTTTCAGAATGTCCTCTTTGTCAGGCCAGAATACTACAGATTTTAAAACTTTAGCCAAGACAATAACTGTGTCATAAAAATAATTTGCAGCTGTTTGACTGTTGTTCAGATCAAAAATAGCAGCTAAAGCTGAGTAAGAAATATTAAGTTTCATCTTCATCATTGTTAAAATAATTCGATCACGAGAACACAACAAAAACTTCTTGAAGTTGCTTTCAGGTGCAATTTTATCACAGCACTTGGCTAGGCCATTAAGGCGGAAGATCACGCCGCGCACGAAACTAAAATCCGCCAGGCTGCGCCACCGTCTGCAGCCGAGGGACGGGCTGGCTGCTCTGCCGGGCGGCACGTGCTGCCTGCGTAGCGCTCCGGCCGATACAGTTCACCTGCTGTCACTATTCCCCAAACAATGGCGAAGTCATTGCAGTTTACTTTCCTGTCCGCTCGCCCGGGGCGGGGCGGGGTGGGCGGGGAGCTTCAGGTAGTCCGGCTAGCCCAGCGTGGTGCACGCGGCCGGCTGCGGCCGGCCTGCCGGCGTCTACCTGGCCGCCGGGGTGCGTCAGCCCCGCCGCATGTGTCGCCGCATTGTCTTTGTCGCACTCGCAGCAGCAAGTGGGAAAGACAGAGACGGACAATGACACCGCCGGGACTAGCTTCCACTACGCCACCCAGGGAAACCCGGCAGCCCAGCGGAGAGCCTGGCGAGATGTCCGTCGGCCTCCAGCGGGCTCCAGTCGGCGGGCAGGAAATTTTACAAGTTTAGAGATTTGGGTCAAAAATTGTGTATTTTTGTATACTATCCCAAAGCGCGTTTCAAGAAACGCTGATTATTTCTATACCCATTTCCCCGAGATGGATTTGGGTGAAGGAGATGGTGCTTTACTTGTTTTCGGCGCTATATGAGTTGCGCGGACATAGACAGTTCATAGTCCGCTCCACAGTTTTCACTGAAATTCGACAGGGGCGTTACAAGGCGCTTGGCGGAGGGGGTGGTATATTTTATTTCAGGTTCAGACGTCTTGTCTCTTTTTGGTGAGAGGTCAAAGTGTTGCATGGAGCCCTGCGTTGTACTTGTAAAGGTATCATCTGCTAAAAAAAATACATGATGTAGCGCTTTACATTCAAATCCTTGCGTGACACTGAAATAAATATTAAAAAATGAGAGTTAAAAAATGGTACAATTCTTTTGGACCGGGCTTCGGGGGACACTCTGACCGCCCATCAAGTGGTGACTAGACATTTGACCGAATATTGAAATACATACAACCCCCCTCCGCCAATAGCCATAACGCCCCTACCGAATTTCCCTCGAAAAATTCAGATTCAATTTTGAACCGTATGTCCGCGCAAGTGGTAAGAACCAGCGTGGTACTCAAGTGGAGCAGTTCCCTGCATCCACTCATCTGGGAGAAATAAATGTGATGTCCTGTCTTGAAACGCGCTTTAAAATGCGCCAAATGTTTTTAAACTCAAATCTCAAAATTAGGAAAATTTTAGGCCAATGATGCAGCATGGTGCCGGGCGAAGCTGGCGAGTGTCGGCGACTGGTAGTGCTAACGCGGCCGCGGATAAAATTAAAAATTTTCATGACGCACCTCGTGTCGTTGAGATACGGTCTGTTGGCGCAAGTGCGACCAGGGAATTCCATCTGAGAGCTCGCAGCGACTCGCATTGGCTTCGCCGGACTTCCCTGGCCGCCATGGAGTCTAAGGCTGCGCGCCACGGGCCGACAGACCGTCACCATGTGGGCCCCTAAAGAGTCAGCAAAAATTAGATCAAACCATCCTCTCGGCTCACTGTTCCTCTACGGCCCTGTCAAATTTCAGCCTAAAATTCCAAGCAGTGCCTGAATGGTCGATGTCCGCGCGAAACTGCGCGTCACATTTCTTCCCTGCGGCGGCTGGTACTGCTGCACGCACGATTCGAATCGGCGCGCGAGCGCGCCAAAGCTCCGAGCGGCCGCGTCCGGGAGGGCAGCATTCCGTCCTCCCCGCACTCCCTCGTTCCGCGCAAGGAGCGAGCGACGTGCTGGCCTGCCAGGCAGCCAGCCTGGACGCGGCCGCCGGCCGATCGGTCTGTCTGCCTGCAGCGCGCTGCAGCGGCAACCTGGCCGTGCCGAGCGCAGCCAAGCCGTCGCCTGCCCCCCGGCCCCCGCCACCACCCCCCGTGCTGTGCGGGCGGGTATCAAAGATATCCAGGAAAGTCGGGGGCTCCGGAGTGCTAGTGTTTGCGCGGACATAGACCACTTTCGCTCCGCTCGGAATTTTGCGATGAAACTTGGTGGCTGCATCGAGCATTAGTTTACGCAGGGAATGACGTATTTTATTTTCTCCTGAGGCTTCAGGGCGCTTTGCAGCGTAAGATCAAAACACAGAGCGATTTTCAAGGTTTTTCAAGGGCTCTGCAGGGCGAAATAGGCCCTTCCGCGAAATATAAAATATGTCATTCCCTAGAGGAGGTCAAGACGAACCGGGGGATACCTCAAAAATGCCACAAATGTGCAGATTCTAAGAGTGGTCTATGTCCGCGTAAGTGAATTTTCACAACTTTAACAAGCTTTTCCGGAAAAACTAAAAACTTTTTCGAGAAACCGATACCAGGGCGTTAACGTACTCAGCGAGACCTTTCAAATGGTGTATTCACCTAAAAAAATTTTGATCGTGATCTTCCGCCTTAAGTAACGCAACTGAATGAATACCTGTAGTTGCAACCAATCTTCTGTCACTGCTCAAAAGGTTTGACACAACAAAGGCCTCTTCTCCTGGAGTAACCTGGATACCAGCATCCTTCATCTTGGAAATATCTTCTGCACGGATTTCTGGAACATTCTGCCACTCACCACCACCCTCATTCTCACAGCCGACCACACCATCCATGCACCCTCCATCTCCTGGCACATTTAGAAATCAGACATTTAAAATCTAACAAGCAAGTTCAAAACAATTCACTAAACATTAAAAAACTTTGCACTATTCATAGTAATTCATGAGTATTCATACTGAAATATTTGATAGTCTTTCAGCATTAAATTTAAAAAAAAAAAAGGGCAGTGAAATACAATTGCCAATTTAAACATGATTGGAGATAATAACAAAATAGAACACATTATGCAGAGCACACAGTTGATTGGATGATTCAAAACATGACAGAAAAATCATAACAAGAGTACCAAAAGGGTACATCAGTCTTTTAAAAAATAAAGGAAAAATTAATCATTTGAAAATATTGCTGTTGCTCGAGACAACTCTATCCAAACCTGAGAGCGATTCATCGCTCTTTGACTCTTCGCTCATTGACTTCTTAGATCTGCAACAGATAATAAAAGAAATAGTGATAGAAATCTAAATGATAGCTTGAGATAATACACACAGTACAAATCATAACAAACCTGGCTGCTCTCTTTAAAGCCCTCTGTTGACGCATTTCTCTTTTACGCTTCAGGGGTGAGGCAATTACTTTGTCATGGGTTCTCTTTGGCAAATTTTGAGAGGGAACTGAACCAGGTTTCAGACGTCGCTTCTTCCCAGTACCACCTGCAAGAAAACCCATATTATAGCCCTTAAAACTGGACATGGAGTACACAAACATGGGGTAGTTAACCTAACGCGCTGCTGTTTATATTTACGAAATCATACTCACAAGTTTTGATGTAGTCACTTTCGAGAAAATGATTACTGCAAACGGTCATTCTAGGACCCAAATTCTCTCCTGTCTTAATAGCAACAGACCATTTATGACGTTCAGCGTCATCTTTTGGTACCTGGTGCAGATGCACATTTTGTCCAAGTAAATTGTGGCACTGAGGCACGCAGCAAATGTGCCTTTCACGCTTCTTCTTCTCTTGGACCTCTGGGGCCTGTGGGCCATCCATTTCACTACTTTCCATCCCCGGAAAATTGGAAGAAATAAGAAATACACGCGAAAGTACACTGTTTACCAAGGAAGCCTAGGGGAGGCGGGCGGTCGGGTCACGGATTCGTTAGTTCGCGCGCCGGCCGCGCGTGGCGCTGCGGTAGCTGTTTGAAACGCCAATAATGGTCAGGATTTAGGCGCATTACGTGCCTTCCCTTGAGCAGAGTGCAAGTCCACTCACACAAGCTCACGCATATGGATTCGCGGAAAGCCCCGCATTCCACGGCGGCGCGTGACTTATGGCACGCCATGCCAAGCCGTGCCACGACATGGCACGATGAGCATAGGTGCCCTGGCCGGCCATGAGCTGGACAAATCTGGTTACCCCCCACTCTTCCAATAGTCTATTGTATAAATACGGAGGGCAGTCCTCATGAGGGTCAGTCGCTCCAGAACCACGACAGAGGAAGGATGGGTGAGTCTTGATCATCTGTGACAGCCAGTGTTAGGCTAGGGACCATTACTATAATAAACCACCGAACTGCATTGAACATAGACTCTCTATCGAAGTCCCATACCAAAACAGGTGTTCTTATTTAGCGAATTCAGTCTGTCGGGACATTCAGCGTGCCTTGAAGCAAAGCATTTTCAGTGAACCCTGCTCGATTTAGCATGACGGTCGCTCCGCATTAGTTCCCTGTTGCAGGTGGCGCATCGCCACGCCGACCTCTGCCACCTGTCGAAGGCCGTGGCCGCCCTGCTGGAGAACCAGCTGACGGTCATGACAGTGGGCATGCTCTTGACGCCGGCCCTGTCCACCGTCATGGCGGTGAAAGGCACATTCGATGTGTTCTGCGCGACCTCTATACCCTTCCTCCTGCCTTTCTACATCATGTGCCGCGCCGGGGAAAGGCTGGAGGACGCCAGCAGGAGCATGAGCCAGGCCGCGTACACCTGCTTCAGCAACTCGCTCGACCCACATCGCGCATCCGACGACACGCGCGAGCACAGGTGCGTGTACGAGCACTCCGAGCCCGTTACTGACTTTTTCCTCATTAATTACGGATTCGTATAAACAGCAATAATACATAATACTTTCGAAGTACGTATGACTAATTTCCGTTGTAAAATTATGTACAAAACAAAATTCTGTAGTACAAAAGTACTGTGGACAGTTAAGTGTAGTAAATTGACTGTTCTAGAGTGCTGCTGGTGATGATGACACGCGCTGCGAGACAGACAAGCATGGAGGTGTTCCGTGGAACAGTGCGCTACAACCTGCACACGTGCCACGAAGCCTTCAAGTCCTGGTACTCCATGTTGCAGTATCTACTCAACGCGCCCGACGGATCTTGAAGAGATTCTACAATTCGTTGACTGTGGTTAAACTTCGCTTAAGAAACAACGAGAAAGGTGTCGAGACAAATTCATAAATACCTTCAGTCAAGTTCCCTTAACGGCCAGCGTGAAGTGCAATCTTTCATTCTCTAGAGCATGGCCCTCCTGATTTCAAAACAGAGCAGGCAATTCTTACAGCTGGTGTAAGACTCAACGCATTCTAGATACTAAATCATTCAAGTCATGCGGCTGCCCATGAACTTCAGGGTTTCCCAACTAATGAAGTACTCTGTTTGACGTGTAACTGTGGGTAAAGTCCGTACCTGGTCACTGGACCACGGTTGACGGGGGTCGTAGAAGCACACATGTTATTCGCTCTCTGACTCGTAATAGACTTTCAGTACGGTATTGTCATTTAGTCTTTTTTGTGGAACGATAATATGTACTTTTCACTTTTGTTCTTCTTATATTCATCTTTGTTAGTACTTGAAACAAAGAAAAATTCCTAAATAATTTTAGGCAATTGTTTCTATCTAACGAAAAAATTCCAAATATTATTGCTGAAGGCTATAGTACCTGGTAACTGACAAGAAAGTAAGAGGCTGAGAGTGCGCACAATTTAAATTCAAAAGCATCAAATAAGCAAAGTCCGAACAAGTAGTTCTGAAGAGTGAATATAATGAAAATTGTACTGTTAATGACATTAATCTAATCCGTATTTTCCCCCTCTAAGATTACCTACATCTCACGGTATAAACGGTACCTGGTTTTCCCAGGAAGCCTATGGTAGAGACATAGGCGGTTTCCAGGGAGTTCCTGCGAAAACCAGGAACCGTTTTCACCGTGCTCTTACCTCAGATACATCTCGCTTTGACTAGTAATGGGCGCAAGAGAATAAAAATTCGATTCAACGAGATGACACTTCTTTATTCCCCACACTGTAAAAAATCCACTGTAATATTACAAGACAATCACCTACAGTAATGCTGTTAAAAAACAGCAGTATTGTTTTGTGTCTGAACAGGAAACCCATCCAGAAACAGCACTTTCGTTTCATAACAATTTCCTTGTCAAGTAACAGCAATGAAATCGTGATCAAAATAGTTGTGTTGTCGTTGAACAGGTTTCATGTTTAGAAACAGCCTTTTGCAATCTTAAAACACATATTGTTGTCAGGTTACAAGGGTCTTGTTTAATAACAGCACGATGAAATCAACAAAAATGTTGGGAAGACATCGTCGAAGACTCCAAAGAAGTATTGTTTTATTACAATCGAACTGTCAGAAAACAGCACCGAGGGCTACAACAACATGCTTGTAATAAAACAAGTCGTGCTGCTATCAAACTTAACAGCATAAGTGCTGTTAATTTACAGCACTTTTTTTAACAGTGCAGGGTAAACCTATGACAAGGGCACTTACCTCACAGGCATGTCGGCTGGCCCCTCCCAAGCCGTTCTGCACACACCTCGGCCTGAGCCGCGACTGCCGGCCCGACATCGAACGCAGCCCATTGTCAAGCGCAGGGAATTTCCTTTCGGGAGGGCCGGTCAGACGCTGCTCGGGCTGGGTATTGCAAAAAATGAGGGGCCGCACCAGAAGGAATTTTTTCTTGCAGGCAGTTGATGTGAGGCACGAAACACGATTATAGTCCGCGAGGCTCGCTCCTCGTCTGTGCTGGGGTTTTTGAGAAGGTCCCGAGAGCAGTTGACGACCTCATAGCCAACCAGTCCACAGCCTTGATAAGGAAAGGTAAGCAGTTGTAGGGGGAGCCAGGATTGCGGAATACCAGTGTGCTCATTCAGGCGATGAGGTCGTCAGCTGCTCGTGAGACGATCGTCATGTTCTTATCGCGACCTCGGACATCCAACTGCCTTCGTCTTCGTCATCGGTAACGTCTTGGGGCGCGTGAGCTGTGATAAAGGTCATTCATTCATTACGCTGCGATAAAAAAACAGGAAAAGTGGCGACTCAGATCGGTGAGTCACATATGTTATCACACCCAGCCCAGCGTTACCACCAAAGCGGGTCACATGGACCACCAGTAGGTAGTGTAATGAGGGCCAACCCAGAAATTCATCTACACCCCAAAAAAATGACTTCTTGGATCAAGAAAAATTCAACTTTCCTTGGTTTTTGCAAGAAAATTTTACTGAATCCAATTATTTTTCCTTAAATAGAGAAAATTTTTCTTGTGTCAAGATTATTCTTCTTCCAAAAACCAAGAAGATTAAAAATAAAGAAACCATTTCGTTGGGTGTAGGTGCCATTATTTTGGACTTCCGAGACCTTTTGCAACCTTATTCCTTTGAGAAAATTGTCTTACTAAACCTAATTAAGTCGAAACGAAATAGAGATCACACTAGACCACGTTTGGTTGTTCGGTGAGGTGACAGAGAAAGTGAGTTTTTGAAAATAAGATTGCAATCAAATGGCAACCAAGTTGAGCTAGGCGGCTGAAGTTTGGAGGACTACGAGGACAACATTAGAGCCAGCCTACTCGCATTAGTTTGAGTCCAAGCTAGACATTGCAGTCACCGGCATAGATTGCTTTCAGTTCAACGGACTTCAGGAGTGTGAAAGAGAGTGGTCTATTCATGGCGCTATTCACAAGAAACCAAGATATAGAGAGGTTTCATAAATTAAATGTCTTCAACCGAAACCTTTAGTGCCTTAGGTACAAAGACAAATAGAAATAAAACCAAAATATTAGTCCTAGCAGCAGTTTTTGTTGTCTTAGAGGGGCCTGGAGTGAAGAACAAGAAGAAGAACATGAGCCGGAAACAGTTGCCAAATTACGCTTATTCCTTATGGCGAATGTTTATTCTCAATCTAAAGATTAACGTGATGAGAAAGCAGCTAGCGCAATGCAACCTTACGTTAGAAACAAGCGCGCTTGAGACTTACCTGCATGCTGCTGCAATATCTGTTCGAATCTATAACGGCTACGTCGCAAGTCTTGAGGAATGGGAAAAGACAACTCTACAAACTGAAGTGTGTACAGATGCATACTTTTTACACTGCAAGAAAAAGTGTGGATAGTACAATAAAAGTACAACAAAAACTGTACAATAAAAGTACAACAGGGATTGTAGAAAGTACAACGAGAATTGTACAAACCACAACGAGCCCTGGACTGTCCAGCACTCGTCATGCCGGTTCCATTGTACTTTGTACAACAATTGTTGTACTTAAAAAGTACACTAAATTCCTGATAAAAAATTTGCCAGAAATTTGTGTACTTTTGTTGTGGTTATTTCCTGCAGTGTAGTACACACCTACAGATGCATACCTAGCTGAGTACACATCTACAGATGCATACTTGACAGGTATGCATCTGTAGATGTGTACTCAGCTTAGTGTGCATCTGAAGATGTGTACTTGATACTGGGCATTTATATGGTGACAAGTACACCCCTGGGCGATTCCATGCCAAACCAACGAACGCTTGGAATTTCATCTCTCCGATTTTGATGAAACTTTTTTTGGGGGTAGGGGTCATCATAAAAAGACCCCCTGCCAAAGGGTTTTGCGATATCTCACCCCGTGTGCCTGTGGCAGGATATCAAAGTTTTAGCTTTAGTCAAAATCATAATATTTTCATAAATTTCCTCTTTTCTGGTTGATTTTTTTTGGATTTTTTTCCATAGTGTTTTTTTACGTAAAAAGAGCTGGGGAACACGATGAAAACGATTTCAAGACAATTGGGTGAAGTTTTGATGCCAAAATTTTCATTTTTCGTCGTATTTTTTCGAAAAATTGCCATTTCCAAAATAGCTCATCTTCGATTTCGACCTAACTTTTACCAAATGATCTCCTAACATAGTGGAAGAAAACCCTAAAAGGGTTTGGTCGGCCCGCCAATAGAATCTGAAAAATCGCAAAAACAAATTTTGAAAAATCACCAAAATTGTGTATTTGAGGTGGTGGTGGTCTTGGTTCTTGCCTGCGCTGCGCAGCCGTCTGTCTGGTCAACATCGACTTCCCCGCTCGGCGTGCGAAGGAAAACCACCCGCCAGGAGCGCCTGTGAAGCTCGGATAGGCAACCCGCAGGCCAGAGTGCGCATGTGCGTGCGTTGGGAGGGCAGCACCGGGATACGCGCCACGATTTAGCCAGGGGAGCGCCTCGGAGTCTGCCAATTTCGCCCATAACTTCTTTGTCCCCCGTAGTGTAAGCGAGCCGATTGTAGGCAACGCTGCTAGCTTCCCAATAAGCTAGTTTTCATACATGTGCGATAATTGCAGTGAGAGCTATAAGTCAAAAAAAGCATCTGTGCCGGCTGCCGCCTGGCTGCTAGTGGCGTATATCCCAGTGGCGCCCCTAGCGGCGAACGTCTGCAGTCGCTTTCCCCATGTTTCTTCTGTTAAAATGGTGAACAATTCATGTTGTAGAGGCGGAAGAAAAGGGGGAGAGTTAAATTAGATAACGGTAAATACCCATTATTTACTCAATTTTACGCAAATGAAAAAAAAAACAACTCATTTTTTCAATTTTTTAGAGTTGATTACTATATAACTCTGATCTTGTCTATGCTAGATAGCATACAATATGGTTTATTTGGTGGAACAAAAATATTATAATTGAAATTTATTATTTTACCGCTGTGGATTTTCCAACTGTTAAAATCTTGTTTTCAGGTTCCATCTATTACTATCTAACGGACAATATTGAAGAGCCTGTGCAGTGCAGCTTGAAAATGTTCTAGCTAAAGTTGATATTATTAAAGTACCAAATAAACCATATTGTATGCTATCTAGCACAGACAAGATCAGAGTAAGATAGCAACTTCCAGTAATCAACTCTAAAAAATTGAAAAAATGAGTTGTTTTTTTTTTCATTTGCGTACAAAATTAAAATTGAGTAAATAATGGGTATTTACCGTTATCTAATTTAACTCTCCCCCCTTTTCTTCCGCCTCTACAACATGAATTGTTCACCATTTTAACAGAAGAAACATAGACTTGTACACACGATTGATTGTGGTCTAGCCTTTCAAGTGAAGTTCAGTTAACTGATGTGTGTTCTAGCCCTTGAGTCTATGTAGCTTGACCCACCTCAAAGTTGACCTACCTATATATTAATTAATAAAAATATTAATATAAATATTAGAATATAAATATGGGAATATAAATAGGAGTAATATAAATATTACCAAAAAAAGTTGACCCACCCCACAGTTGACCTACCCTATATT